TTTGGCCTATAACAAAAAAGGGGTTTATGAATTTATCTATTTAAGATTTAGCAAAAACTAATGAAAAGTGTAAATTGCTTGTATAGTGCTTGTAAATATTATATGGATATTTTGTGATTCTAACAGTTAATCATGAGAGGAACAGCACAGTGTGAATGCAATCGACAGTGTAAATGTAAATTAACATTTGTATGTACACCTAGATATAGACAGAGTTTATAATAGACCTTGGTTTTTGGGAAACCGATGTGGAAGTAAATCAAATTGAACAAATTGCTGTTTTTGTAATTTTAATCATGGTTCTTATCAAATAAGTCATTTTTAAATACCTTTGACGAAATTTCTGGTTTTTGTTTTGTTTATTTATCATACATAATCTTTAAACATGTCATACTGCACTGTTTGACTGCCAATAGCTTTATATTTGCTACTGTAAAGGAAGGTTAACTTAATCCATTCTCGAACAATATTCGGAGATCTGCAATCAATGTGATATATGTGCAATATCAAATTAAATAATTTCGTTATTTTTCTAAGTTTTAAGTTTTATTCAAGTATTTATATTTATTTGTTTAAAAATATCGGATGTTTTAAATAGCTAATCCAAATCTTGCTTCATGAAAGAAAACATAAATTTTGAATTAATCAACCAGAAAGAAAGATCAGCTTGGTGTGACATACCTTTATGCTCGTTTAATACAACTTTAAAAACATTAAAAAATTGTCGTATTAAAACTAAGTACAATTAGACTCTATATTGTTCAAATCAAAGTGGCTCTCACGTGTATGTGCAAAAATTGATGCATTCAATTTGAAATACCAAATTTCATAAATATTTTCACCAGATTTCACTTAACATATAATACTTTTTCAAAGATTTTGCTGCAAAAGAGAAAACCGAAATGCATTAAATGAACTAATGGTACTCATGTATGTGACACATTCACAGACTTAACAAGTTTACATCTAGTCATTATGCTAAATAACTCAAAAGTCTTTTCCATTATGCTAATTGTATCCCATATTTAGGCGCCACGGAAGAATACACATAAAGATTCTCAGTAACAGCTGTGGGAAGTGAAACAAAAGTATTTCTTGTTAAATGACAGTCTCAGTATTTCTGATTGAACTCAAACGAAGGACCTATCAATCCCGAAGGGCGTGTCTTACAACTGCATATCTACATCACAAATGTAAAATTTATGATTTGTGCTGTCCATCAGGGATCACACTTCACACATCTTGTTTTCAAATAACACAAGTGAAATTCAAGTAACTTATACGAGTACCTTAAACTGTATATACACATCTGACAATACAGATTCTGGTCAGAAAATGTTAAATTGCACCCAATACTGGCTATATATTGACTGTATGACTGTTACATCTTTTTTTATGCTCAAGCTATTTACAAATCTTAGTTTCATATCAATACTGTATATCATATCCAAATTATCTAACCAAAATTAGCTTATTACCAAAATGAAAAAGATTGCAATGTTAGCGTAGCAAAATAGGTTTGCTAATGGCCATCAACAAAGTATTATTTCTGATATAAAGACCAATTTAGTAAATTTATTTCTTCAAGTAGATACGAACGCTTATAAGAGGATGTCAGTCGTGATTTGAAGAAGGTTCTTTAATATTTGGTTCATTTCTGTTAAGATGAACTATACTGTTAGAAGAAACTTTTACCAGGAAATAACCGTAAAACGTTTGTGAGTAGGAGAAATGACTTGCTAACCATCAGTCCGGTCATAAAGTAAATTTTTGTGAAGTGCAATCTATAAAACATGCTTATGTGACCATCTCGCAGTTTGAACTAAAATATCACCAAAGAGGAGGCAAAATGCAAAATAACTGTTAGTTTAAGTTTGCTTCAGAAGTTATTCATACATGTTTGTGTTAACTACAGACTGACCCCTATAATTATCAAATACTAACCATGTTTAAATGCAAGGATTCATTGGTTTGAGTGTTAAAAATGTTGAACTTGTGTGATAAAATATAAGGCTTTATTGGAATTTTTTTATTACTTTTCAAAAGATTAATGCCATGTCCGATATATTTACAGCCGTCTAAATGACCATCAAATAAGTAATAAAGTGCAAACCCTTACTACTCCAGCTAATTTTATGTGTTAACAACATGGTACGACCAATTTTTGGGTACAAACGGGGGGGGCCGATGTCCGGGATTGAGGCATGCGCAGAGGGTCAGATCCTGTTACCTTCCGTAAGCATAAAAACATATTGTTCAACCCGATAATTTATCTGGTGCCGTCTTGCTGATTTATAGCAGTTGTGAGCAGAGATTCCACTGTAGATGATTGCAAAAGCCACTCTTCTTACAATTGACTCGGTAAGTTTACAACATTTGTTAATACATAATACTATAAATTCATATGACTCAAAAATTGTTATAATGTTTGTATATGAAATTAAAACATACAAGCTGCAAGTAAAAAAAACAACATTTAGATCATTTTGGATGGGACTTTAAAACCTGAAGTCCCGTGTAAATGTGCTTCACACATTTATTGTAAAATAACTAGTCATATCTTCATGAATGGTGTTAATTATGCTCCAAAATAAAAATTACTAGCACACTTTTGCATGAGTTGCCCGATGGCGTATATAAATTCAATATTGATATGCGTTTAATTCTGATTTGTCATTTTCTGCTGTATATGTCAATGTAATTACATGTAAAGGTAATACGTTACACGTTTATGTTCATTTCTTTACCAGGCTTGTTTTATAAATATAAAAAGGAAATAACGATATATGATATCCTTAATATTGATGTAATATAAACAAAAAACATAGACTATAAGACGGTAATTATATGTGAAAAGTTAAAACTATAAAAATAATTCTAGAAAAATCTATATTTCAACTCCATAGTATGTAAACAAGCCTGCTTCCTATTTATCGCAAGAAAAGTTACGAGTTGGCTTCCAGGAAAGGTATATAAGGTATATTGATTGGAAGTAACAAGAATTACCAGGAAGACATTTCCTAACATTTAGGCCCACAGGGTCTGTTTAACCCATTGCGAATGACAAAGTTGCTATTTATTAGATAATTACTTTTAATATTTTTGTCATTTACTTCTATCATATATAATATTTCCAGCCCAGCTTTCTCTTTTATAAAAGACGGGAGAAAGATTTTACTTAACATATACGACATACGAGCAAATTATTGCTACTTCAACATAAAGTTTTTTCTCAGGTTTCTGTTTCAATTGCATGCCTTCAATTGTCTTTCCGGTAGTGCCATCTTTTCATTATTATAATTTTGTTACTTCAGCATCAGTGATTTCACAATCTTTAATATAAGGTCTAAACAACCCGTGTTTTCAGTTTACTGTTGTCCCTGTCAACCAATCATCATTTATCGGTTCTATGTGTGTTATTATGTCGCCCGTACAAAAAGATATTTAGTTATCAGACTCTGTAAAGATTTTTACATTAATAATTAATTACTATTTAGATTTTTTCGCAAACATAATGGCATAAGAATACAACACATTATTGTACATCTTTACAAACAGAAAATATATGGCCAATTAATTTGCTTGCTTGTAGTACAAATGTACTTCTTTCCTTATTTAACTGTTAAACATTATTTTAATTGTCAAATATTTTCCTTTTCCATTTTATATTTCTGTCCTAATATTTTTTGTCTTCTGCCGATAGATATATTGTTCATGCTATTAACATATATTAATAGTAATCACATAAAGTGTAGTAAAGCTAAAAAATAAAAACGATATTACTCTAGACGATATTACACCAGTGTAATAACACTTTGACGTGACGTCATTTGCGCTATAAACATAGCGTTAAAGCGCGCTCATGTAAGCGTTACACTATAGGCGCGTCACATAAAAATGACTCTTTTTAACAGTTTACCGTCCTTATTTAATATATGTGACAAATAGAATATTAAATTCGTGTAGATTCAATACTAGATTTATTGAACTCGCCAGAGGCTCGCATAATACGATTTTATTCAACTCGTTAAATAAATTTAGTATTAAACCTACACTCATTCATTAGCCTGTATGTATTGTTTAATGCAATAAAATTAAATATTGGAGTTGAGTGAAAAACATATCGTCTTAATCTAACTGATAAGTTAACAATTTTCCAAACATGATGTAAGAGTTGATATAGAATGTATATAAAATGTTTGATAGACACATGATCACATTAAGTGTTCATACCCGGTCGGTTTTAGTGTCAAACTATCTCATTCGAGTTCTACAAAATGTCTGTTAATGTTATCTGAATATCAATTTCTGAAGTTCGATTTTGAAAACACAAAAATGGCATTCATAACCTGCATAATACCTGCAGTTAAACCACGCAAGGCAGTCACATCAAACCCTGGAGTAATATCAACACTTCTGTTGCTTGTACTTTGATCACCATGTAGGTCTTAAGTATTAAATGACCGACATAAAGATAGAATCAAGATTAGTTATAGTATTGCATTGTTTACAGCATTGATTTCATTGCAATAAAGGGAAGAACAATATAATTGGTTTTCACGTATGTTTTATACAAACTCTCACATAATGTGCTGGAAATTTCCCACGTTCTCCATTTGCTGTTGTTCCCATCCAGCAACCGATCTCTATTGGATCTATGTTTGTTATGATGTCGCCTTGGTCAAAAGATATCTCGTTATCGTCCTCTGTACAAATTGTAACATTTAAGATTTAAGAAATAAATAAGTTAATAAGATAATGAATTATTAACGAAATATAGAACATCTTAAGAAAAATAAAGAACAAAATAGGATCAATTTATTTAATGAAACTAGTTATTTAAAACATAACAAGGGTCTTGCAGTGCGAACTTTTTCAGTTGAGCAACATTGGATATCAAGAGTACGTATGTATCATTTTAAAACAATCCATTGTGATCATACCATGTATTCCAATCAAATTCTAGTTCTAAGCAATATTGTTATAACTAGTATTTAATTTTCAACAATACATAAAAAATGAAATGTGAAACAGATACCTGCTGTGTAATCGTAAAAGGCTGTCGCATCAAATCCTGGTATAATGTCAACATTTTTATTGCTTGGAGTTTGATCAATATGTGTATCTGGAGTAATAAATAAGCAATAAGAGAGATGTGCTTATCATAGAACGTTGATTTGATTTAAAGAAAAAGAAAAAAAAGAAAAAAGAAATAAACAATACCGATAGTTCAAACTTCGTCACAATTTGATCGAAGTATCGTGTACCTTTTGACCCTATGTTTAGTATTTCATTATGATTGTCTTCATATGACAGATGTATATACAAGTATAATAATATAATTATCGTCCTCTTCATAAAACAAATGTATATATGATTATATCAAGTTTTTATATTTCATTGGTGGATTAGATAGTTCACCCTCTTGATCACAGCCGTTAGCCACTTAGAGTTAAAAAAACACAGTTAAGCCACCATATCATTCCTGGGTACTGATAACATCTGTACATGACAGAGTAGATGTTATGTGCATATGACAGTAGAAAAAAATCATGATGATCAATCGCATCAAGTAACCTTCATCGTCCGGGAATCGGACACAAATCGCCCGATTCACATTCCAAAGATCTACCTTTTGAGCTAACCTGACGGTTATTTAATATTTCATAAAAAATCATATAAAGCTTTAATGTATCATGTGTTCCGAATATTAAGGCAATTTAGGAAATAATGTCCATGAACTTTCCCTTTCTTGTTAGTACAATAATTTTGATAGTATAACTAAATACAAGTATGTAGCAACTGCATCCATTCCCTTTATATTGTGTATCTTAACGGGCAAATGTAATGGCATTTCTATACAAAAAGTTAGTATACACTTTTTCAAACAGCAAATGAATGGTCGGTGTATTTGCTAATTGCACCCCGTAGTAGTTTTTAACAGTATTTCAACCGTAAATAATTTCCTATTCATCATTTATATCAACATCTTGATAGTTATTTGTCTTCTGCCTATATAAAGATATATATTGTATGTTTTATGAAATAAATGTTTTTGAGTTGAGTTGAATAAAAATAACAATGATTTAAATCTAACTGATTAGATACGAATTTTCCAAATTTGATGTCAGAGTTGATATAGAATGTTTATAAAATGTTAAATACACACATGATCATATTAACTGTTCATACCCGGTCAGTTTTAATGTCAAACTATCCCATTCTTGTCCTACAAAATGTTTGTTATCTTAACGTTATCTGAATATTAATTTCTACAGTTCGATTTTAAATACATAAAAATGGCATTCATAATAAATACCTGCAGTGAAACCGCACAAGGCAGTTACATCAAATCCTGGAGTAATATCAACACTTCTGTTGCTTGTACTTTGATCATCATGTAGGTCTAAAGTATTAAATGACCGACATGAAGACAGAAATGAGATTAATTATAGTATTACGTTATTAACATCATTGACTTCATTGCAATAAAGGAAAGAACAATATAATTGTCACGTACTTCTTGCACAAACTTCAACATAATTTGCTGGAAAAAACCCACGTTCTCCACTTGCTGTTGTTCCCATCCACCAACCAGCATCTATTGGATCTATGTTTGTTATGATATCATCTGGGTCAAAAGATATCTCGTCATCAGCGTCTGTACACATAGAAACATTTAAGATTTAATATAACATTAATAAGATAATGAATTAACGAAAGCGAGATCGTCTTAAGAAAAATAAAGGAAAACAGGATCAGTTTATTTATTCTGACTAGTTATTTAAGGTATTAGGACCCTAATGGGCACTATCAGGAACTAAAAAATTGACATCATAAGTCAGATGTATACCTTAAAGTACACCTGTATGCAAAATTTAAACAAAGTTTACCGTACGGAAATCAAGTTATGGCCACTTTTCTGAACTCAAGCTAGGATGTTATGAGGGCCCTTTTTTAGAAAGTAGGAACCTTTAAATAATCTGCAATAACATTCTAATGAAAAATGTTTTCCCATTAATTTTTGGTAAGAAACAAATAGTACCATTCAGTTAACAATCCAAATAAGCAAAATTATGGTTTCTACTTAAAATTTATGAAATATGTATAAAAATGTTACCCTACCCCACCCATTTTTACCACGTGTCTGACCATTTTTCTACTTAGGGAGCCTAATTTAAAAAATTCTTAAAATTTACCCAAATGAGTGCCTGTTTTCAAAGTTTCCCTAAATTTTTAAAAAAGTATATTGGTTGATCTTGTAAAATATGAAATACTTTTACCGTCTAGTTTTGATTATATTACACTTTGAAAATATCAGGTACCATATTTATTACTAGATTTAGCATAATTTAGCCAATAAATACCTATATAAATTTAAAAATCAAAATTAAACACTTTTTTCTTTCCAAATGGGACATGAGAGATACATAAATAATGTTAAAAGAAAAAAAGAAAGAAAAAAAAAGTTGACCCTTCTGGGGATTGAACCCATGGCCCTCATTTTCAATGTAGTTAACAGTAGTTCTAGCCTATTTGAATACTCTTCAAAGCGGAGGTAATGCATTAGGGTGCTAATACCTTAAACCATAACCAGGGTGTTACAGTTTGAACTTTTTTTCATTTGAGCTACATAAGATATCAAGAGTGCTTAAATATCATTTAAAAACAACCCGTTGTGATTTAACCAAACCAAAATATTTCATTCTAATTCTAGTTCTAAGCAATACTATTTATAACAAGAGTTTGAATTTTAAAAATACACTTTAAATGACATTTGTTACAAAAATACCTGCTCTGTAATCGAACAAGGCTGTCGCATCAAATCCTGGTGTAATGTCAACATTTTTGCTGCTTGCAATTTGATCAACATGTGTATCTGGAACAATAAATGACAGACAAAACATATGTACTTGCAATGCTTTTGAACATAAATTTTACTTCAAAACACAGAAATATCAAGAGTGCTTAAATATCATTTTAAAGCAGCACGCCTCCAGATTCATGCTATTTTCATGAAAATTGAGAAAATGCATAGATAAGTTAAATATTGTGAAGTGAAAAAAAGTTATAATTTCCACATTGCAAACAGCAATTACAAACCCATGTAAATCAACAAAAACAGCTCGAAATATGCAAAAAATAGCCCTTACTGCGTTACTAACGCAGCAGAAATATGGTAAAGATACTGCAAAATTGGTCATGAATCGCACATAACATAGAAATTAGTACTTTAATTTTGAATCTTTTTACCTTTCTTAAAATCCCAGTACTTTTTTCTCAAAATTTATTTTCTTGAAATATTTTGGTTTATCTGGAGGCGTGCAGCTTTAAAACAATCCTTTTTTTAACCAAAATATTTCATTCTAATTCTAGTTCTGAGCAATTCTTTTAAAACAATTATTTGAATTTTAAAAAAAAACTATAAATGAAATTTGTTACAAATACCTGGTGTATTATAGAACAAGGCTTTCACCTCAAATCCTGGAGTAATGTCAACACTTTCGTTGCTTGCAGTTTGATCAATATGTGTATCTGGAACAATAAATGACCGACAAAACAGATGTACTTGCAATAATTTAGAACATAAATTTTACTTCAAGACAAAGAAATAAACAATACCGATTGTTCAACTTTCAGCACAATGTGATTGAAGGATAATGTAACTGCAGGACTCTTCACGACTTTCTCTATATATCCCTTTGCATATGTACAAGAAGAATGCATTTCATTTTTCGTTTTTGTTGAAATAAATTCGAATTGCTATCTTAAAAAGTAATGATAATCTTAACAATAAAATCTTCTCATGAAATATGTATTTTTTGGCTATTTATAATCCTATGGTAAATATCAAGTAAAATTCATTTGATTCAAACAACTTAAGGCTTTTAGAAAAATAGTTTTTTTTAAAGAAGATTGAAAATTATATAATGAAGAAACAATATGCATAAAAACATTGGAATGTTAAAACTTTATGTGAAACTTCAATTTCATAATAGTTAACTGTCAATTGAGAAATCGCCTTAAAACGTTAAACATGCCATATGTACCTAAAATGCCAAACCTATTGTCCATTATGCACGCGTCAATCAGAAATTATTAAAAATGCAATGATTTAACCTCTTCTCAATGGGCTTGATTCTAATGTATTGAAGTACTTTACAACTCTCCATACATTTCGTTAACTTTTTAAAATTAACAAAAAAAAAATGACTAGAATTATCATTATTTTTTATAACAAGTACTGTACCAGTTTTGTATAAACTGGTCATTAAATCCTAGTGTTTAAAGAAATTAGAAGACATTTAAATAAACTAAGAGTTCCAGTTTTCTGTTCTTACTAAAAAGAAAACATGACATACCCACATTATATTCAGATTGCCATGGACATAGGAAGTAAGTACACCCCATGCTCATGTTTTGTTTTATAGAGCAATAAGGTAGTTCTATACAAACCACTTCTTATTTACCTTTTTACCCACAATGTGGTACATTACATGGTAATAGAAGAATAATTACCAGATATTGATACAACGTACAATTTGGTGTACTCTGTTTGAAATCTTAAATAATTCAAGAAATTGCAGTTGAAATTTATCAACAATACCTACATTTTAGATTCCTCAATCTTCCGAATTGTACAAAATAATGAAGAGAACTTGTTTTATTTTGAATCGAGATTTCATATATGACCAGTCTTTAAATTAACAATGGTATGTTCCTTTGGATCACCCAATTCTTCGTCAGCTCTTCCATTTCACTCTCTAATATCCCTCTCGTCAGTTCTTCTTTTTTATTTTTTTAATACCAGTCTAAGATGTACTTATCCGCATTATTGTAGTAAGACAGACACAAAATGTATTTTAACATTTATTTTAGACTTATTTTAGATTTACTTTGTTTCTATGCTTGCGATAATTTTAAATAGGAAGTTAAAACTTATTTTATAAGGTGTAACACCTAAACTGGTTGGTGCGTTTCGAATTTTTTTCATTATCTCAAATATTCTAATTAATAAATATTCTCATCAAAACAATCATCTGACATATTGTTTGGCAACATCTTTCATTTGTTTTTTTTTGAAGACATGCAGTTAACAGCCTTTTCTTGTATTGTTTTGAAATTATCAGTTATAAATGTTTTTCATAAACCGAGAAACAACCGTTTATACTATTTGTTATGAAAGTAACTGACGGAATTTAAAGAAAGGTGTCGCACAAATGAGATAAATGAAACCAGAGACACTCATTAACGGTTATATCTATGTCAGCAAGTCTATATGTTTACGTATCTCCCCTCGTCAACAAAAAAGACTATTACAAATACAAAATTATTGACTAGTGCGCTATTGATTATCATAATATAAATAATCTTAGATTAAAAAAGCAAAGTGTCAAGTTTGAAAATATTATTGTATGCCTAATAACAGGGATGTTTTCAGATAAAAATTCTTGGTAAGAAAAAAAAAAACAACTACCGCTTGTTTTTTTTTATAAAAGCCTAGATAAAAGAAAAACTTAAAGAAGATGAGGCCAGACGATCAATGACTACTCGAACGATGCGCACGCAATAGTAATTCAAAAATATAGTCATCAATGTGGTGTAACTTGTAATTATTTTAGGTAAGTAATAATTGCGGAATATCAAATTATCAAAGAATGACAAAACCAAACGATTTAATTTTATGAGAACGCTTATATTAATAATTATAAACGTTGTTAGACAGTTCGTAAAAATCAAATGAATAGAAACGACGTATATTCGAACTAGAAATGTGTCCATAGGACACGGATGTCCCCACACTCCACTGTTCTGTCAATTTTATGACTCTAGGTTTAATAGTTTTTAGACTACATGTGCCAAAAGTTGAAAACTCAAAATATTTTACTAAGTAAAGGGCAAGAACGTTACAAATACTGAATAAATACACAAGCAAACCCCAAGGTGCATTAGTACACATGCTGACCAACAATCTTGTAAACTTTCAGGCGTACAAGTTAAATACTTTTTGAGCTATGACTGAATAAGATGAAAATTGCAAATTTATACAACTGTTAGTCAAGGGCAATAACTCTGACAAAATCCACATGCAAAGTCCCAGGTGCATAGCTTTACAATGATGTTCATCATTATTCCTGTAAATTTGGTTGATTCTAACTCAAGCACTTCAGTAACAAATAACACAACATAATGAAACGGTATTTACTAAGTCAAGGACAATAACTCTACAAATACTGGAAAAATCGACATTCCGAATCCAAGGTGCACAACTACATATGCTGAGCAACATTCTCGTAAGGTTTCATGACTCTATGTCAAATCCTTTTTGAGTTATATGCGACACAATTTGAAAATTGCGAAATTTTACTAAGTCAAGGGCAATATTTCTTAAAATAATATATAAATCCACACAAAAATACCCAGGTGAACAACTACACATGCTGATCAACATTCCCGTAAGGTTTCATGACTCTATGTCAAATCCTTTTTGAGTGACAAGCGACACAAGCTGAAAATTGCAAAGATTTACTAAGTCAACGGCAATGCATAATAACATTCCTATTAAGTTTCATGAGTCTAGGTCAAATACTTATTGAGTTACGTGCGACACAAAAGAGAACGGAGGGACGGTAGGAAGGACGGACAGACAAGGGTAAATCTAAATGCCATCCCCCCCTTTATAGTGGGGGCACAATAAAAGTCCGCTGTTTATATATATTTAACATAAATGAAGAAAGACGTTTTCCCGAGTTTTCATATAGACATATAGACAAAATTATAACTGTTCTATAGAATTTCTTTAAACTTAGCATGTAATTAGAATATAATAACGGAAACATTTTAAACGGTAAAAATGGGATCACCGTGTCATTTTTGAGTTATCTGCCCTTAAAATTGGAATTTTCCGTTAAATTCAAGGGCAGATAATTTACAATGAAGCGAAACAATACATTTTTTTCTTATTTTCATGAATCTTACCTTCGTGGAAATCAATATGCAAATTTAGAGTGGTTATTTTTCACTACTTTTTCGCTTAACCTGTCCATTTTTTCTTATAAATTGGCCTATTTTTTATGAATTTTAAGTACCTTTATTTTCATTTATTACAGAAACAATATAAGGAACTGCATGTATTCAACAATCAAACGACAAACATTATCCAGAAGTAAAAAACAAGAATTCCTTTACGTAAGTTATCTGACCTTTAAATGACCTGAAATAAGTAGAAAATTCTGATTTAGAGCCAGATAACTCAAAAAAGAGAATGGTGACCCTAATTTTTTTTCGCTTAAAATGTTTCTGTTATCATATTATAACAACATGCGAAGTTTAAAGAAATTCTTCTTACATAGTTTGATAATTTGAAATCTTCCCTTGGCAATGAAATGTCTTAAGGAATCAAATACTTAACCTTTTGAGAGAATTTCCGATTCCGAAGCGTTTTCAAAATCAAGAAGATAATTGTAAAGCCAATCAAATGTAAGTCTATGGTCCGGAATTTGATGCCAACATTGAAGAATCGTGTTGTAAAATTCAACAGGACATTGTACTTGTCCTTTTGGTATTGGTAGCCGGAAATCTCCACTCGATATCTCATGCAAAGTCCTTTCCTTTTCCAAACCTGTAATAGGTACGATATAACATTATTTGAAATATTTTGAGAGAGAGAGAGAGAGAGAGGGAGAGCAGTAGAAATCTTAAATGTTACAATGTGTTTATAAGAAATGATTATAACATAAGCTTTGAAGCTACTTAAAACAACATGTGTATGCAATTCGTTTTTTCTTTGTATTTATATACAGATAAGCATGATTATAATTATAACGGCGAACCGATATAATATTAGAATTCTACTAAAAAAGGCAATTGAAAATAAATAAAACTCCGTGACCTACCAACTGTTTGCCCTGGCTAAGCTTCCACTACTATACTGTAAAACCACTACTGAGGTAGATACCAAATGGCATAGGCAAACAACAATTAATCTAAATGGATACTTTTTATCCCGTTTTAAAACATAACTGTTCAGTAACAATTATGTTTTGAAGTGCATCGATACAATAAGTATCAGTTTTCAATCTTGGTTTCCAAATACTGGATGTTGACAGCATCATTTTTGGCTTAAGGTTTACGGGGTGGGGGGCATTCATCCCTTCATGTATATTTCTGTGAACACTCAGCTTCAATGACTTTCTTTTCTGCGTGGTTTTAAAACTACACTTTAGATTTTGTCATTAATTTTGATAATGAAAAATTGACTATAACACACCTTAAAATTAAGAAATTGACAAATACGTCACACACAGTAAAGGTTTTGAAAAGGTGAGCCATGAAAAACTTCTATTGAAAATGCATAATTATAGTATAAGATGTCAACACTTATATGGACCAGAAGCTCCAAAGGGCCGATGGCCGGATCCGTTCTCTTTCTTTATTACATAAATGATCCCCAACAGGATATCCAGTTAAAAAATTTGCATATTTGCAGATGATAAATCTATATACCTAACATACACATCAAGTCGCAATTAAACACCCTTCAAAAAGACTTAAATGCCCTAGAAAATAAGTACGATCGGGACAGCATTGGACAGGAGGAAATACTTCATATCAACTTACTATTCCTTTATGAAACTGTATTAGATGTGGTTGCATTTGCAAAATTTCCTAAATGATCTATAATGGAACGCGTACATAAACACGTCAATCAAAAGGGCAAACCAAAACAGTGACCACTTAATATCCTTTAAGGCTATATTAATTAATTAAGACGCTTGTTAGACCACGAATTTGAATTTTAAGTTTGACCATTATTCCCAGTGTCAAATCCAAATTAATCAGATTGAAGCTGTCTAGAGAAGATCTGCGAAATGGGTAAAATCTGACTTTAGACGCACATTCAGCGTTACCCAATTGCTACAGTCACATAAAAGGCGCTAACTAGATATTCGCCGTACTGGCTCTCCATAATGTTAACATCACCAATGATATAGTCGCCATTCATGTAAAAAAGATATCTAGCATTACCTGATAGAATGTAATGAGTATTTGAGGGATGCTTTCTAGCGCCAATTTAGATAAATACAATAGGTATATTTAACTTTTCTTAACATTTTTACTCTTAACTTTCATAGCAAATTATAGATAAACCTGCATACGGCACTTCACCAAAAGTGATAATTTCATAAATCACAACTCCAAACGACCATACGTCAGACTTTGTACACAACACACTTTCATCTGCTAATACTTCCGGTGCTATCCATTGCCATTCCGTGTCGCCTTAATAATATAATAATATCATGTAAAATCAAGCAAACATCAATAGATTACCTTGCTTACTCTTTTAAAGTGAAATGAGTTGTTTGTCATTAATTTCCGAGAAATGAATAAACTTTTGAAAATAGTGATTAAAAATGTAAAGACTATTTTTAACTTTTCGGAAAAGATTACCGTTTTTATTG